CTTGACGGCCTAATAAAAAAGACAAAGAAAAACACTCTTACAACACGGCAGTATTTAAACACTACCAAAACATGTGATATGGGACTTGTTACTCCTCTAAGATAAAGCGTATTTCCATTGTGGGGTAGTAAAAAACTGGGTATCGTAAATTAATATATATATATATACAGTTCCTTAATTCTGCTAAGGTTTGAGACCGTCAAACTGTGCATGCGAGGCCCGCTACGCCGGAATTCAAAACGAAACTTCTGAAAACTGTTCTAATATACCACTATTGCTTAGAAGTCCAGGGTTGTGTTTGCTAAATTTTGCATTGTTTATGCCTGTGTGGTCTTCACCAGACAAAAAATTGACGTGGAATATTCTTTCGACCGTTATTGGTAACTCTTTTCAGAACACCACCGGGTAACATATTCGGCCGCCATATTTTGGGCATCGCATTTAGTGCGAGACTTGTGACTAGAACCCATTTCATATTCAGTATTGACGTAGCATTCGTGTCTAATACACTTAGACTCGCATCCGCAACAAACAATGACGTAGCTCTCTTTCTCTCTAGACACTTGGCCAAAATAAGGCGGCCTCGAAGACTAGCGGCACCATGGGTTGCACTTTTAAATAGGCTGCATTCAAGTTTCTATTATTTTCTAAATCTACCAAGGAAATCCAATGCAAACATTTCTTGAGGAAAGTTAAACAGTTAAAAAGTTGCGAGCGAGTGTGAATAAATAAAGCTGAGAGGGAATGGTTTCTTTGGGTGCAGCTTGCGAGCGCTATGCTCGTGGTCAGCTTTCAGTGGCATTTTCGACAGGAGGGCGCGTGCACAGGTATAATAGGCGTTCAAGCACGCACACCCGTACATCTGACTGCATAGCCATAGGACGTCCACAAAAACGCAATGACTTTACCGACACCGTGCTGGTTGCAAAGTGATACTCGTTCACTTCGTTTGATTATGCTCTTTTGTGTTACATAGAACTCAAATCGAATGGTTTATTTTTCACGCGCGGGGCGTACGCTTTACTTCTTGATTCAACCTCTTTCAAGCTGAGTCACGGTGAAAAACATCGACGCGTATTGAGTAAGTGCAGCCATCTTGAAATCTAAGCGATCACGCTAAGGACGCTGAGGGCAGTCCGCTCTACAACTTGTGAAGCGGAGCGCACGCTCACTCCGCTAACTATACGCTCCAAATCAGAGCGGGCCACGCATGCGCGGTGGGGACGATGCTTCTCGCAGAGCGTAAAGTAGAGCAAAGAGGGCTCATAAAAGTGGCCTACTAATACTCACAGATTACGAACGCGCTCGTCGTGACTTGTCCTGACACTGCCCATGTACACCTTTGGCGTATAGAAAAAAGTAACTTTTCACCAGACAGAGCAGCTGTGCTAGAAACAGTGGAAACGCGAAATCTACACAAACCATACAGGGTCTCACCTGTGAGCGCAGCTCCAGTTTCGCCAGGGCCAACCACCTATGTTTGTCCATGTCAGCGAGCAGGTGGCCGAACATCTCGTTCATGTGACCTACGATGAGCTTCACAGAACTGAAGAACACCGACAAGTTCCGTCCAAACGCTCATCCAAGTACGAACAGACGGTTGGGATAGGCCTGTCGAGGAAGAACCATGCAAAGCGTCTCGCCAGATTGGCAACACCCTGCGCCGATCTGTCGGGTGCTGGTATTTGGAGGCCCGCATGCAGAACAGCCAGGTCCTTCTTTAAGCAGGATAGCTTCCTAAAGGGTTTCTTTTCTACGTTGGAAATATCCAGCAAACCGCGTTCGGAAAGGAAGCTTCGGCGCTTGATGGCACGAGGGATACGAATCATAGATTCGATGTCTCGCCAGCTTAATCTCGTTAGTAGAAGTCTCCTTCCTTGAGAACAGCGGGGATTCATCGTGCAGATGCCTTGCTAGCCTTGAGCAACTCTGTACTCGTACTACGCAAAAGGATGTACTCGCAATGCGCAAACTTCGTCCTTTTCTCTTATTTTTCTACTTCGAATAAGTAAATCTGTTTCAGTTTTAATTCGAGTGGAGCAGAAGCTACAAGAGCGAGTGCCGGCCTTTCAGCGTCCTTGATAAGCACGCGCGCTCGTGCAGTGCAAGTACCGTTTAGAGCAACATGCTCATGCTTATACCTTCGGCTTCACTCGCACACAAGGTGGAACGATTATATTTATATTTTAAGCTTAATATTTCTTCAGGTGTGTGCCTACTCTTTTGTGTTCATTATTGTCGCCTTCGTTTTTACTACCTCTACAATCACGCTCCCTTTTACTCTCTTGGTGTTAACGCTTAGGTTTTTTTGTCTTACTAGTACTATAAACGTCCACTTGTGGGGCTACGCAAGCAAATTTTTCGAACCCGCTCAAAACGCTCTTATACGCTGAAGAAAAACGCTCTACTAAAACGCGTTTTTGGACCTCCGCTTTCCATTCCGGCGTAGCGGGCCGCGCATGCGCAGTTTGGCACCCTCAGAGCGGAGCGGAAGATGAAAACGGTCTACTAAAACTCTCTATTATGTCTTCCCGCAAGAAAGAAGCATGGCAAAGAAAGGTCGACAGAGCCGGACAGAGCGGCCGGAAAAATAGTGTTTTACGATTTGTTTCGCGATTTGCTTCATAATTTATATCCAATTATTGCACCCCAGCTAAAATATGTAAGATTACAAGGCATGAGACATAGAGCGTGCCGAAGTGTTCCGTAAGCTGGAATCTCTCTGACCATTTGCTCCGTAGCGGCCTGTTCGTTGGTCTATCTCAAATAGGACCTCCGCACTGCTTGGCGGAGGCCGTTTTTAATACACTTCTTACTCGGTATATTTTGGTGGTTATAACTGTTATTGCGACGTCATGTTTCAAGCACAACTGTGCTTCAAAAGATCACGACAATCACTAAAAAAGAGCAGCGATTCTCAAAACGCACCACTTGATATAAAACAACTTTTTTTCGGAAGCAGCCTTCATTTTTTTTCCATACCAACGCGAAAAGATTACATAATGCAATTTAGAAGTGAAAAACGTACATATCGTAAAAAATGTAATAAACGAACCTCATACATTTTGTAGTGGTCTATTAGGCTGGTGTTACTGATCCATTCTGCACTAGCACCAGTCGAGACCGCAGAAAAAAAGATTCTCCCGTCGGGCGACTGTTAGCGTTCGGATCTTGCGCAAACAAAATAAAACTGAATAGAAACTGTGCACGAAAAATCATCTCCACCCCAAGCTTTCACGTATCTGGCATGGTTGCTTCTTTTGTATAGATGCCAATTATTACGGCGCGTCAGGCATGGCCTTTCTGTAGATCAGTTCTTTGTGTGCAGGCTTCTCCCGCTGTTCATCTGTACTCTGCCGCACAGGCTGTCAACCAGAATGAAACAACTTTTAGAAAACTATCGCTGACCGAGAAAGTCTATTTAGCTCCTCTTACTTGATGGCTGATTAAACGTTATGCACAAGACTGAGCACCACCAAGCTCAGTTTTTCATCACATTTGATGCTGTTCCGTGGTGCTACACCGAGCCGATGGTCCCTCGAATTTTCTTGTTCTTTGCTACCGCACTAGATGTTCACTTGTCTGCAAGGTAATTGAGACGTCCGAGGAGTCGGAGTGCTCGAGTAGTGGCGCCGTTGTTTCTTTGTTTTCTTTTTTCCGCGGCCGCTGTGGGATTACCCCGTGAACGGCAGTGGGCTCACGCGTTCACGAAGGCGAAGAAGCAGAGGACGACGAAGCAGACGACAAGGCGATTCTAAAGCGATAAGACGACCGAAACTGTTTTTCTGCACTTCCTGAGGAAAGTAAGGCACCACAAACAACACAATCTTATGAAGTAAAAACATGCAAGAGAATCAAGGTGATACCGGGGCGTGCCAAATGATAATCTATGATGATGTACGTACGCGCAGCCCTATGCAGCCGGGAAGCTGGGAAGGGATGACTATAAGTAGCACGGCGGCGGCACCACTTCCGGAATGCGCGCGCCTGCGCAGTTCGCTTGGTGACATCGGTCTATTGCTTTAGTTACAGCATTTTTCTTGACCACTGAATGATGTCAAAAATCGGTGTATTTCAGGCCCAAACCTCTGTACCATGGCAGGTATGCAAAAACGAGCGACGATTCTTACCAAAATAATGATCGAAAGGAATGTAGAATGTGTTCAAGGTTAGCTAGCATTCCGGTGGCGCTCATATATTGCTAATACGCCCGTCCTATCATTATATGAAAAGACTCCGTCGTGAGCATCTTTACGATCGGTTAAAAAACATTCGAAGGTAAAAAATAAAGTACGTGGCTACAAAAGGTGTGTATTTTTGTTATTTTCTATGTCGGGCAGTTTTTATCGGGCACCTGTTTTCTGGCTTCTCCCTTCTTCTGCAAAGATTTGGAGCGTGCGGGTGATGATTTGAACCCAGAACAAGCATCTTCGTACATATTCATGAGCGGAAAGAATAAAGCTAGCAGTACTTATTTAAATTTATTTCGATCGTCTGCATGCACAAAGAGTCACTTATCCAGTGTTACTGCGTGGTTCTTACCGTCTCTCATATTTTTTCAGATGTCGTTCGTTCGTTTGGCACGTAAATCTTCCATGCTAGAAATCGCCGACGCCGTGTTCGCGCTAGCAGTGTCCGACAGTGCACATGAATACACGCACGAAGCGGTTTTAGCACCGTTTTTCATGCCACGAATTTAAAATAAAAACGCCGTAACTGACCAATTATTCCGTCTGCGTGACTGACAAATGTTCCAAGCTACCTAGCACGTACGAATTATTCGTGATATTTGCTCTTATAATCGAGCGCAGAGAAAGTGCACTCACTTTTTCCTATAGAAATGCATTAACGGAAGTCAATTTCGGGCTGGTTGCTGTCTGCTTCAATTTGCAGCAGCACACTAGCGCCAGTTGAACCTCTAGCGTACATTATAATAACTCTATGAATGGGGCGGCTGCGAGAGGCGGCTCGACGGGTGCGGACCTGTCCAGCCATGTCGCCCCATTGCAGGTGCGGCTGAACAGTGAGCTCTTCCAGTCCCCCGCAGAATCGGCCTGCTTCCGAGTGTCTTTTTCGACGTGCATATCTGTTTTGTCGAATTTCTCGTGTTTTGCGCGTCGCTGTGACTTTTTTCGTGTCTCCGCAAGCTTGAGAAATGTGGAAAGAGCGACGGTGAGATGCCGTGCAAGTGCTGTGTGCCGCGATGCTGCGGAAACTACACCGTGGACAACAAAGTGCACGTGTTCAAGTTCCCAAAGGATCAAACACTGAGGGGCGCATGGATACGCGCTGTGCCGCGGGAAGACCTCTCCGTCACCGAGAATTCAAGGGTAAGCTTTCTTTTTGGTAGAGAATTAATTGTTTCATTGCAAATGGAAATTCAATATATGTATACATTCGTATAAATGTGGCTCGCAATCCGCACTTTACGTCAAATACCCATTGGTTTGTTCATTGGACGCAAAATTCCTTTCTAGGTATGCGAACTTCACTTCGGACATGAGAACATCATCCGAGAAGCATCGCATACCGATGAAAGTACTGGCCGCACCATCACAGTGCCCTTATCCCATGTCCGTCTTCGCCCTGACGCTGTACCGTCGAAGTTCCCTAGCTGCCCGACCTACCTGTCTAGGGAAGCCACAAGAAGAGAAGATCCCGACTCCAAGCGGGGGCGCATGGAGCATGCTCCTATGCAAAAAGCTATCGCGGAGTCCGAAGAGATGTTTAACAGGGCACATAAAGAGGACAAAGTCCATTCTTTAGGAGAACTAATCGGACACTTGCGGAGCAAGGAGATGAAGTTTTGGAACATAATAGAAAAGAACGAAAGGCTTGTTATTATCCACATCGTCGACGATGAGGCTCCGTGGCTGAAGTACTCTGTCTGCGTAAAAGGAGACATGAGCGCGTGGCGCTACATGTCATGAAAACGGCGGTCAAAAAGTTAGGTGCAAATCTGGACATTCCAGAAATTGCTGACAGTAAGAAGGGTATAGTAGAACTCCTCGAAGGCATCGAGAAGTAGGACGGGGACCTGATTTCCAACTCAGTCGAGGACATTTGCGCGGCTATTTGCCTACTGCTGGATCAGTTGTCCACGTCCCACGCAGAAGACGACGCCGACTCCATTAGATTTCTGCGAGAGCAAGTAAGCTTGTTCCAAGCGAAAAAAACAGCGCAGACGCTACTCTGCAGATTTCATGGTGTTCTGTTGCATTCTTTTCACCATATCGCCCCATGCGTACGCTTAAATACGCAGCCATGGAAGCTTTGCCGCATCCCATGTCGATCAGATCGGTATGCTCCTCTTATGGCATGAGCCCTCAACAAGAGCATCAGAGCGAAGCATTCCTCAGTTACATGGCGAGAAGAATTTCTGACCTCAAAGATGACCAGCGCTTCGTCACCGTAATGGTAGACGAAATACACATCAAACCTTACTTTGAATACAAAGGGGGCAATATTTTCATGTTTTCATGGTGCGCAGCCTGAAGTGCGAATTCAAAGAAGTTGCGCACATCGTGCCAGTGCACAGACTAGACGCGGAGTTCCTGCACAAGATGCTGAAAGATGTGATTTGCGGGCTGGAAAAGATTGGGTACCGCGTTGTGTGAGTCGTGAGCGACAACAACTCTGTGAACAGAAAAGCAATGTACCACTTCGAATCGCCCGCTTCTAACAGGATTGTGTATCAACACCCATCAGACCCTGCAAGGCCGCTGTTTTTTGTTATAGACCCGGTACACATACTAAAATGCATACGAAACAACTGGACCAACCAGAAGAATGACCAAGTTTGCTTCTACTTCCCTGAGATGCAAACAAATGCGGCAGTCAGAGCGTATGCAAACAGCGTCATTTTCGACAATCAGGGACCTTCACAGCAAAGAATGAGACCAGCTGTTGAAATATGGCTATGGGCTATCGAGAAAAGCCCTTTACCCGTCGAATATTGAAGGGCAGAACGTAAAGCTTGCTTGCAAATCTTCAATGATTCCTTGCCTGTGGTGTTACGTGCTCTTGGAGCGAAGCACAACCTGTTCTCATTTGAGGCCACTGCTACTTTCATCGACATCATACTCAAGTGGTGGAAAATTGTGAATCTGAAAACTCCGTGGAAGGGAAAGAGGCTGAGAGACCAGCAGTGTTCTCCGTGGACAACGATCCAAAATTGACTTCTTGCACTTCTTGCTTTTGAAATGGCTGGATGAGTGGGAAAACAAAGACCTTAACAAAGGTACTCTGACAAAGGAGACTCACGCTGCGCTTGAGCATGCGCTTGTGGAGCTCGCTATTTACAGCTTCGAAGAGCTTAATTAAAATGACCTGTGTTCTTTTTGGTAAGATACAAAAAGACTGCCCAGAGGACCGGTTTGGAAAGTATAGACAACTGGCAGGTGCGCAGTATCATGTTTCTATCAGGCAGATTGACGAAGTCGAAAACAAGCTGAGCCTGCAGAGCACCTTGCCGACTATTTCCACTGACCAGCATTGGGAATGTGTACGGAAGCAGGTACAGGCCTTGCATCCCAGCTGTAACGTAGTTGTAAGCAGCGAGACGCTTTCGAAGATACAGGACATCCTTCCGATCCTGGTCTACGTTGCAGAATATGCCGTGTACGTGACCCTCAAAAAGTTGAATTGCGCGAAATGCAAGGACGCGTTGACTGTGGATAAGACAATCACAGTGTCTGCCGCCCATGAACACTATGATCTCGTGAAGCAGTTAGGGCTCATTCACACTGGAAGCGGATCCGCGTTCGCAAAGCGGTTGCGAATGCGGTTGTATAAAGATTCAGTACAATTGCACGCGCATTTGATGACATCAAATGCGCGTGCAATTGCACTGGATCTTCATACAACCGCGTTCGCAACCGCTTCGCGAACGCGGATCCGCTTCCAGTGTGAATGGGGGGTTAGACCGAGGAGGTCTAGTGTACCCATCGATGTTTGCGCTTAATGCTGTTGCTCACAACTACGTTGTCGTAGAGCAGCTCGCTACGCAACCAGAACTGCTACTAATGCCCGAACAGCGCCAGGTCATCACGAAGCTGACGCTGCATTTGCTGGCCAACGAAGAGCCATCTGACTTCGACGCCTGCGAGAACGGCCACACGAGTGAATCTGCTGAAAGACATCCTTCGGTGCAGCACGAACGTTTTACTGAAGAACTTCTGTGGAAATCTAAACGACAAGGTTCTCGACGCTGCTGACAAGTCAAAAAAACGGAAAGCTGCAACTCTCCAGAAGAAATAGGTGTATTGCTCCTGATGAAGCGCAAACACAAACAAAACTGGACTGTGTAAATAAATGTTTCGCTCCTATAATTTTCGTCCAGTGAAATTTCTTTTACAGCACATGCATGCTCGTTCCTGCAAGAAAAAAAAGTGCCCGCGCGGTAAATCGGTGCGACAACCTCTCTTGAACAGCGCTACGCACTTTCACCAATCCGCCCTATCGTGTGACGTCACGGGAAGAAAGCTAAGGCCTTATACGTTTCTAGAGGGTGTTGGCCGAGCTCCCCCTGCGTCATTTTGGGGGGGGGGGGGGGGGGGGGGGGAGGGGAGGGGGGAGGGGGAGGAGAGGGGAGAGAATTCCGTTGAACCCCTCCCGAAAAAAAATCCTGGCTACGCTACTGGCTGTGTCTCAATCGACACGTCGCCGTTACACGCAGGCCCGAGTGTCGAAGGTGCCCTCTTGGGGAAAGGAGGGAGGAGGGGGGGGGGAGGGCGCAGACAAGAGGAGGAGGAGTAGATGCACCGGCGTGGCTTTCTTGGGGAAGGAAGGGGGGGATGCGCGGGGAAGAAAACGAGCAGAAGATACGGGAATTTTGACTTTTTTATGTCTTCGGAGGAACCCTCTCGGCCCCGCAGGAAGCGAATCTCTCGATCGGAAAGAGAAAGGGATCGGTTGGACAGGTTTGAGACAGAAGATTTGATATGTAGAGATTCAAGGATTTCCCTGCCGAATCGAGGTTTGTGCCCGCCAAGAATTTCGGTTTTCGAGAACTCGGGGGTGCACGAGGGGCAGTCTTTGGCGTGAGCCACGACTGGATGAAAGGAGTCGGGAGAAGGAGACGAGATCTCCATGGCGTGCTCCCGGAGACGATCGTTCACGCAGCGCCCCGTCTGACCGATGTACTCGGCTCCGCACAGAAGAGGGATACTATACACCTTCTCCCTTGTGCATGGCAGGAAGCACTGCGCGTGTCTTTTTGTGCATGTGGGTGGGGGTTCTGGGTTGGTGACTCGCCTTGCACATGCCTCCCAATTTAAATCTACATGTGAAAACAACCCTGGTACCAAATCGATGTGCAAGTGCGCGGAGTCGGTGTGCCGTGTTGTTGGAGTAAGGAATGCACGCAGGGCGGGCAGACGAAACGTAAACTATGATGCAGTGATTATGTTTATCTCCGAATTTTACCAGACACGAATGCAGAATTTTTTTGTGCCTTTCGAAAGTACAAATAAAATTTAAATGGGCTTATAATAACCCATATCATTATCCCCCTTGTCCACCTTTTTGTACAAAACGCTGACCCTTTCAGCGTTTTGTACAATATATCCCTTATCCCCCTTTTTGTACAAAACGCTGACCCTTTCAGCGTTTTGTACAGTATATATCCCTTATCCCCCTTTTTGTACAAAACGCTGACCCTTTTAGACTGCATCCCTTAGGAAATATCCCTCCCTCGGTGCACAGATTAAAAATATACGAAAAGCAGGGAGATATGAGATCGATTAATATTTTATCGGACCTGCTTGGACGCCATCAGGGTCACAGCTTGAACTTTTTTTTTTTCTTTTTTTTGCGATGAAGATGTTTTCGTCATTGAAGAAAAATCGAGCTTGCGTTTTCACCAGGCATATTTACTTATCTATCGACATAATACCTGCAGCGCCTTGTGGGCATTTTTGTAAGGTGGGGGGCGGGGGGGGGGGGGGGGGGGGGGGGGTGTTAAACCCAGGACACTTGAACTCACAAAGTTCCCCAAACAGGAAACAAACAAAAAACTATTGCTCCTCTGGTAGCATGTTCGAATCTCTTGCTGCCTTCAGAAAAATGGAATTACCAGAACTGTTTGCTTTGTAAGAATACTCAGAGATTTTCATAGAATGATCACATCGTGCTGAAATGTAAGTTGGTCCAAAAAGGTTCTTGTTGTTATGTATACCCATCTTAATATAATAAATTCAATTAAAGAATTTTAATCTTAAATTTTTCGTCGAGTGGTCAGGGCATTTCAACCCAACATGACTCTTAACTTAGAAATGCTACCGTAAGGGTCGTAGTCGTTTCTAACAAATGGCGCAGCTTGATTCTGAACCTTTTCTAGTCTCTCAATTAGATAATCCTGGCAAGGATCCCATACTACACACGCATACCGACGTATCGACCTAACATGAAAAAATAAAGTATATTTTACATCTCTTGGCGCGTCTTTAGAATTACTACAAATAAAATGTAACATTTTGCCCGCCTTGCTTATCGTCTACTCAATATGCGTATTCTATGTAAGTGACTGCAAAATAAACGCCTAGATGTTTTTACTCAGAGACACTGCTGACCGTAGTAGTATTTAAAGTATACCTTGCCGGAGATTTGAATGCACCCTTTAGAAATGTAAAATGATTACACTTCCCAATATTAAACCCCACTGGTCACACAAATATACTATTTTACCTAGATCGCTTTGCAATGCCTCATAATCTCGCAATGATTTTTTTCTATAAATAACGCAGTTGTCGGCAAATAGCTAGCTTCATAGGAGACTGAACACATGTTACAATGTCATTTATACAAATAAAAAATACCAATGGTCCCCAAACACTCCCCTGTGGCACACTAGAGCTTACATCTATGGGTGAGGGCTTGCTACCATTTAAAACAACACATTGCTCACGCCCGTTCAGGTAACTTTTTATCCAATTTTGAACCTTATTAGTTGTGTTTAAGAAGGCTAGTGTGATCTCTAGAAGTGTCTGTGGTACAGTATTGAAGGCTTTTCGAATATCGAGGAAGATTGCGTCTACCTCTTCTTTGATGTCAAGAGCGCAGTATACGTAGTGTTGAAATTCCACCAAATGTGTTTGACACGAGTGCCTACTTCGAAAGCCACGCTGGGAAGTTGTGAAAAAATGATATGATTCGAGGTAGGTGAACATCCTACTATTCAACATTAATTCATTCATTCATTTATTCATTCATTCGAGTATATTTTGTGTTCACGAACGGTGGGTTGCCTGAATAATGATGCACAACCAATAACAAAAGTGCTATTACCGAAAAAATAACAACAAAACGATACCCCCCCCCCCCCTCAAAAAAAAAAAGAATAAAAATAATTTATATATGTTCTTGTTTTATTTTTATTTATTAATACAGCCAGCCCATTGGGGTCAAAGTAGAAGTGAATAATAAAGTACAATGTACATTTTTCAATCAAAGAATATAACAACTTCTGTACACGTCCTATTTTTACACATCATACTCAGCTGCACACACCCAGACTTTTTTTTTTCGAAATTTGATGAAGCATGGTTGGTTTATAATATTATACATATTTATAGGTTGGTACCTATACAATACACTAAACAGCACAATGACTATAGAGTGTCAAAACAACTTAGCACTGAAAAAGAACATCTAGAAAATTTGCAAAAGCTGCAAATGCATCCATGTTAGTCTTATCATCAATGTCACTGCCATCTTTCCATTGTCGTGGAGCACTAACTTTTATAAAATCATCATTACTAATATTTGCAAGTTTTATGCCTGTCATTATTTTCCCGTTCACTGTTCGTGCCATCGCCTTTGTTTGTCAAGTGATTTACCATATCCCCCAGTTTCTTCGGTTTATTAAAGTTGTCTTCAAATTTACGTAGAAAGTATTCGAACTTTGCCTTTCTAATGTCAGAGTTTAACTTATTTCTCATTTGTTTAATATGAGATAATAAAGTTTTGTCACGGGACTGGACAAGACTGTGGTACATATTATTTTTTTCTCTCTATTCTCTCGTAAACATCGTCATTCAGTCATGGCTTTCTCAATTTTCGTTTCGCCTTGCTTGTTTATACGGCGGGGAACGCAAAATCATACAAGCTCTTACAAAAGAAATGTAAGGGCGCAAACGGAGCTGGTGTACAGTGCGCCGCAATATGAAAGACCCACTGGAAGCGCATGGCCGAGGTGGTGGCTGGCGGGGGTGACGCGAGCGCTCCGGGCAATACCATTCTGCTTCGAGGGGAGGACGCTCACTCGGGGCTCAGCACAGACACCGTGGCACAGACTGATAAGCGCGTTGCGCTTTCGCTGAGCCTCGAGTGAGCATCCTCCCTTCGAAGCAGAATGGAACTGCCCGGAGCGCTCGCAGCGCCCCCGCCAGCCACCGCCTCGGCCACGCGCCTGCGCTCCCAGTGGGTCTTTCATATTGCGGCGCACTGTACATTAAACATGATTCAAAAACCCCGAGACTGCAGGAAATAGTCCTAAAATTTTGCTATGCGCTGCATCTGCACACTAGCTCTGCCAGATAAACGATAGACCAGTCAGAACTTTCAACAAGTTGCTCAAAGCTATCAAGTGTTTCCGCATTTATTTTCTAAAGCTCTAACTTTCGGAGTTGTTTGTGGTGTTCGAAACCGGGACACGACTCAAGAAAACAGGGGTAGGTGTCGCTCAGTTTGGTCTATATTTGTCACACATACATCTATGGATGTGCAGCTCCCACTTGTTACTCTAGTTGGGAGCTTTACTACATTTGAGCTCGCGTAGGACAAGACTATTTCATTGAAATCTATTGCGTATGTATCATTTCCTATTCTGTCAATGTTTATGTCCTCCATAATTAAAACGGTAGTCTCGTTAAGGAAATAAAAAGTAGACAGTCAAAGAAGTCGAGAAAACCAGGCTTGTTTAATACTAGTGGCCTATATACCCCTACAAAAGTCTTTTTTTTTTTTTTTTCGTACAAGCAACCAAGCACTCGACATCTGCATTAACTACGGACTGTTCCACCACAACAGTAAATGGAATGGAAGCTTGCAAATAAACCAAAATTCGGCCACCTCGCTTTTGCTTGCGATTTATGCCCGCACAGCTGTGTTATGAATATTTGGTGGTGTCTCGTTCTCACGAAACTATGTTTTGGTGAACAATAGTGTATCAAAGTGCAAAAAAAGTGAATAAAAAACACATCAAGGGTGTCCTGCTTTCTATCTATACTTCTGGTGTTTAA